ATTATGCCCAATTAAAACGTTCCGGTTTCTGGACACTGGCGAAGACTGATCACCTTGTTAAAACCATCGGCGTCTTGCGTGCTAATTGCTGACGGTAAGGGTGGTCGGCTAACTCTTTTGTTCTTTTTCAGCTCCAGAATGACCCACTAGCGAAACCACGGCAGCCACCAACTAAACCGGTGAGTCCGCGACGCCGCGGGCGCCGCGCACATCGCCGCAGTATATCGCATATATATATATATATATATATATATATATATATATATATATATATATATATATATATATATATATATATATATATGTATATGTATATGTGTGTGTGTGTGTGTGTCATGTAAGTGTATCATATGTATCTTCACACAATGTTAGACCGATCAAAAAATGTAACAATTCCCTGATTGAGTTTTCGACGTTCTTCAGCCTCGCCTAAACCCTACAGTTTCAGGATCCGGCAAGCTATGCATGCCTGCTGCTTGTATGCTACGGGATTTCAGACTGCATTCAATAACGACTCCATCAATACTGGCCTAACAATTAGCATTCTCAGACCGCCCGTGATAATGAGTTAGGTTTGGCTGTGCGGCACGTGACCGCTGAGTGATGTTCATCGCGCCGCTGCATTTATCCGCAGTGATTCCGGGTCGGTGCTTTGAACAGCTGTCGTGCCGGTCGGTCCCGTAGCGTGTCCTCCCGCCGTACTGGTCAGCTCCGAAGAGAATCCTCCCGCCTTGTCAGTGAGCAGTCCCCGAGGCGTGTCCCCCCGCTTTGTCAGTGAACAGTCCCTGAGGTGTGTCCTCTCGCCTTGTCAGTGAGCAGTCCCCGAGGCGTTTCCTCCCGCCGTACTGGTCAGCCCCGAGGCTTGTCCTCCCGCCTTGTCAGTGAACAGTCCCCGAGGCGTGTCCTCTCGCCTCGTCAGTGAGCAGTCCCTGAGGCGTGTCCTCCCGCCTTGTCAGTGAGCAGTCCCCGGGACTTGTCCTCCCGCCTTGTCAGTGAGCAGCTCCCGAGGCGTGTCTTCTCGCCTTGTCAGTGAGCAGTTTCCGAGGCATGTCCTCCCGCCTTGTCAGTGAGCAGTCCCCGAGGCACGTCCTCCCGTGTTCTTGGCACTAGTAGCCGTGAGCTCAGCTGCCGACTCAAAAGCCCAGCGTCCGGACAAATTTCCTCGAGGTGCTCTGGCACAGAAACAACTAATCAGCATTATCAGGCTGATCGGACCATTTTTCGTCCTGCTTTCCGCTCTCGTTGCCGTATGGGCACGCACGCACGGCAACACTTCAGCGTTCCCGCGCACTTGAGGTTGGTGGTCGGCTCAATGCCGACATTCGCGGTCGGCCTCTCCTGACAACGTGGTGTCGGTTTACGGTCCGTGCGGGACGCCCCAGCGGGAGACGCGTCGGCCTGCGTCTGGCACACGCTCCTGGTCAGCCTGCGGGGACCATGGGTCCGTTCTCCTCGGCGGCGGACCTTCCGGGCCGGAGCGGCGCGCCCGGGCGGCCGTGGGACGGCCCGCGGCGGGTGGAGCCGGCGGGGCCCGGCTCTGACCGGTTGGGCGGCCGCTCGGCGCCGCGCGCCGGCCGGTTCTGCGGCGCCGCCGGCCCGACTCCCGTCCGCAACGCGCTCCCTTATCTCAGGTGCGGCCACGGCCAGATCAATTCGGCTGTATCTAATCGCGGCGTGCAGCCCGGTTGGCCGGGTCGATTCGTGGCCGCTGCGGTCCGAGGCGCAGTGTGTCGCCGACGGCAGCGCCCGCGGTGGAGTGCTGCGGCGTTCCGGCACCCCAGCAGCCGCTCGGGCGCGGGTGCGGCGGAGCGGGGGGAGTGCAGCGGGGTGCGGACCGAACTGACGCGGGGCGACCTCAGAGAAGAGCCGGGGCTTTACTGGCTGCCGGAAGCGGGGAAGGATGACGGTTCGAGCGGTGGCTGAAGTCCACCCAGCGGACTGCGACGGACGAATCCCGTGGTGGGAATCGAATCAGAAGTTGTAAGTGATTCAGAGGATTAAGTTCGGGCTGTCAACCGGAAACGGCATGTGATCGGTGGCCTGCCGGTGAAGCCAGTGACTCGACCGGTGAGAGCGGCGTGGCGGCTATGAGGTGCGCGTGACACCGTGGCCAGGCACCAGCTGCAAAGCGCGGGCACAGGTAAATCTGCATACAAAATGGGGATTTGCGCGTGAGCTTCTGGTCCAATCTCTCCGCACTTGATGGGAGTCGCAGGTGCGACTCAGGGATGGAAAGCACTTCGAAACGCTGAGATGGAAAGGATTGCTTCTAGGGACAAATGTAGCATAGAATGGGGCATATCTGACTGTAATAGAAGCTTTGCTGGAATGACCCATTACCTCCGAACGGCACGTGCTGCCCGCCAGGTCCTTGTGACCCGCCGAGAGACGTGTTCGTGCTTTGGATGGGTGGCAATCAGCTGCGTGGTCACGAGCTCCGGGCGTCCGGGTCCAGCGTCGCGTCCATCAGCCTGTGCTGAACATTATTCGGCACCAGTCAGGAGTCCAGTCGGCGCCAGTCAGGAGTCCAGTCGGCACCAGTCGGGAGTTCAGTCGGCACCAGTCAGGAGCCCAGTTGGCACCAGTCAGGAGTCCAGTCGGGAGTCCAGTTTGCACCAGTCGGGAGTCCAGTCGGCACCAGTCGGGAGTCCAGTCGGCACCTGTTGGGAGTCCAGTCGGGAGTCAAATTAGCACTAGTCGGGAGTCCAGCCAACACCAGTCAGGAGTCCAGTCGGCCACTATGATTCCCGCCAATCGGAGAGGATGATCAGCTGGCGCCATTCAGCAGTCCTCCGCCGCACTCTCGCGCCAACCATGAGCGCAACCTGGGCCCCCGCTGGCGCGCGAGCTTCGCGACGGTGCGCCGCAGAACCAGGAGAACGCCGTCCCGCAGGCTGACGAGGCCGGCGCTGCTGAGCCAGCGACGACTCGCCTCACCAGCGGAGACGCTCCGCAACAGCGTGTGACGAGCCGTGCGGCGGACGCTTTTGACGTAGAAGAACGCCGGCCGCCAGCTCAGCTGCGCCGGCGGCCGCCGGTCGGGCCGTAACGAGATCAGAGCGGTGTGCGCGCGGCTGCAGGACCGGTCCCACCGGGGCCGACTCGGCACGGTGCGACGCGAACGACCGGCGGCCCGGTCTGAGACGGTGCTGACGGCGCGGCTGTGAACTGACGCCTGAGTCGGGGTCGGCCCCCTGTGTGTCGGGGATTGGCCGGCACTCCCGTGGTCGGTGTACCTGGAGTCGACTGGCACCCCTCAGGTTGGTGTACCGGGAGTCGACTCACGCTCCTCTGGTCGGTGTGCCAGGAGTCGACTGACGCCCCCTGGTCGGTGTGCCGGGAGTCGATTGGCGCCCCCTGGTCGGTGTGTCGGGAGTCGACTGGCGCCCTTCTGTTCGGTGTACCGGGAGTCGATTGGCGCCCCCTGGTTCGTGTACCGGGAGTCGGCTGACGCCTCCCTGGTCGGTGTGTCGGGAGTCGACAGCCGTCCATCTGGTCGGTAAATATTTACGGTAGCCGCTGGTGCCGGCCAATCAGCCGGCCAGCGTCGCTGTTGACGGGTCCCTGCTCCAGCCGCGGCCCCGGCTCCGGCCCCGGCCCGGCTTCGGCCCCTGCTCCAGCCGCGGCTCCGGCTCGGGCCCCGGCCCGGCTTCGGCCCCTGCCCCAGCCGCGGCTCCGGCTCGGGCCCCGGCCCGGCTTCGCCCCCTGCTCCAGCCGCGGCTTCGACTCCGGCCCCGGCCCGGCTCCGGCCCCGGCCCGGCTTCAGCCCCTGCTCCAGTCGCGGCTCCGGCTCCGGCTCCGGCTCCGGCCTCGGGTTGGGCTTCGGTCTCTGCCCCACCAAACCAGGCACAGAACCAAATGCCTGGCATGCATGTTATGAGAGTCCTTCATATGGTGACATACACTGAATTCGTCGAATTTCTGGAGTGATGCAGTGCGTGCATTGGCCGCGCTAACGCTTAGTCGCCCACATGCTGGTTTTCTGACCTCGTGACCGAAAGGTTGCTTGAAAAGGAAAGATTGCTCGCCAAGATCAGGTATAATTCGACTGCCACGCGCACAGCCCATTACACAGAGTACCACTGGCACGCCGCCGGCTGGAGCTGGAGCTCACCTCCACGCCACACCGACGCGGGAGAGCACCGCAGTCCCGCCCTGCAGCCGGCGGCGGTCCGCGCGCCTATCGCGGCGCCACACGCTCGTGAGAACAAGGGCTGGCTCTGTCTGTCCACCGCGGCGGCGGCGGCCGGTGGCGGCACACGTGCTGTCTTCACAGGCCCGCCGCCCGCGGACGCCGGCGGCCGCGGCTTCGCGCCGTGTCACCATATCAGCGCCACCTGCCGGCGGGCGGCCACTTCGGCATTTGCACAATGGACGCCCTGATCGAGTCGGTTTGCTCGACCGGCACGCCAGTATCGCCGCGTCGTGTCAACAGTGCGGCGGCAGTGTCACCAAGGTCATGCTGCAGCAGAGGCCCGATCCGCGTCCGACGCTCGCTCGTGAATTGGCGAGCTCCTTCTGCTCAAGTGGCACTTGGCGTCGGCTTATTGGAGCGATTAACACCAGACGATAGGAACCGAACTTTCCGGACGCAGTCGCTCTTGCTGCCACGGCCGGCCGGAACCCGTTCCCACGGATGGGGCCGCCTCAGGGCAAGTTCCCGGTCAACTTTGAGAAGAAACATCGAGCTAGGAAACCCCAGCGCAGCGCGGTCTGGCGGTTATCTGCGCAGACTATTTTAATGATGACCTGTGCCGGCTTGCTCTGTTACAGCTCCCTCAGGGCATATTGGTGGCTGGGCGGAGGTCTCCGTGTTGACCTGTGCCGGGTTACTGTTAACAGGGGTCGCTCTGTTACAGCTCCCTCAGGGCAGGTTGGTGGCTGAGCGGTGGTCTCCGTGCTGACCTGTGCCGGCTCGTTCTGTTACAGCTCCCTCAGGGCAGGTTAGTGGCTAAGCGGTGGTCTCCCGTGCTGACCTGTGCCCGTTCGCTCTGTTACAGCTCCCTCAGGGCAGGTTGGTGGCTGGGCGGAGGTCTCGGGAGCGGCCAGGTCAGACCAGCATGGAGCTCAACTTCGTCACCCAGCGCGTGATGGCGCTCTGCTTTCCACCGGGCGTTGATGCTGCCACCTACCGGGAAAATCTACGGGAAGTGGCGCAGATGCTGCAGACCAAGCACGGCGACAGCTACATGGTAATTGGGATTAGAGCTGTGCCGGTCTTTTGGTGATGGGTGGACCGGTGGAATGTGGTCCTGCCGGTAAGGATCCATTTTGCCGAGGATTAACGCAAACGTCTTGTAATTGACAGGAAGGCATTCAATTATTGGTGTCTGGAAACCAATAGATACCCGGTCATGTTGAAACTGAAAGATTCCCGGACCTACTGGAACTAATAGGTTCCAAAAGGTTCTCTTTGAAGGGTAGGGCGTATGAGGAAGTGATGTAATTTGATTTGCTAAGAACGACTAGAACACTGTGTTTAAAAAAAAAACAATTCAGCTTAACCAACTGCGAACAATGTCGTGTCAGCACTGTAGCGATGCGAAAGAAGTCAACCTCAGCCAAATGCCGTGGCGTCGATGTGGGCGTACTCAACAGACAAGACGTCGGACGTAGTAACCCGCTCTGTCAATGCGCCTCCGTCCGACCGGAGTGAGTCTGTGCAGCAGAATATGCGTGACGCTAACACCGGCTGACGTGACGACCGTGTAGTCGGATGGTCTATGCAGTGGTTACGCGTGACACACATGCAGACAGTCATGACACGCACGAGCGAAGCGTCATCTGGAAGTTCCGGAACCACGCTGCCTAGGCCTGAGTGAGCACGACCTGAGCTGAGCTGAGCTGAGCTGAGATGAGTACGACATGAGCTGAGCCAAGCCAAGCTGAGCTAAGCTGAGCTGAGCTGGCCTGAGCTACGCTGGCCTGAGCTAAACTGAGCTGACCTGAACTGACCTGACCTGACCCGCCCTGTGCGGTACGCCGCAGATCTTCAACCTGTCGGAGCGCCGTCCGGAGCTGTCGGAGCTGCACCGCCAGGTGGCCGAGTACGGCTGGCCCGAGACGCTGGCGCCGCCGCTCGACAAGCTCTGCAGCATCTGCAAGGCCATCGACAGCTGGACGGCTGCCCAGCCGCACAACGTGGCGGTGCTGCACTCTCGCGGCGACAGCGGCGACAGGTACCCGGCGCCGGCGCCCTCAGGGACTCCCGTCGCCCTCGGTACCCGGCACCGGCGGGGGTCCGGCACAGGGTGTACCCTGCGGGCATTTGGCATCGGACGTACCGGGCACCTGGTACCGCATACGGCATCTCAGATACAGTCATTCGGCATGGGATATGCCTGACACCCGCGTCACCAAACGCCAGACGTACCAGGCATAAGAGATACCTGACGCCCGGCGGACACCCTCTACCCCGGCAGTCCGGCACCGCAAATACCCGGCAGCCTTCACAGCCGGCGCCAGGAGTCCTGGTCACCCTTGCCACCGTTACACATATACGTTGCAGCCTTTTTATATGCACCTGGCATCCTACCACTGATGCGGCCGACACTTAATAGAAATGTAGAATATGTACACAATACCGTTGCTGTCGGCACCCAGTAGTAGATATAGCTGGTTTCCAGCATCCAGCACCACGCCTATGCGACACCCGACACTAGATACACCTGGCACCCGACACCAGCCCCCTCCCCCCTCCTCCCTCCCCGTCACCCATTTGAAGTCAATAGCTCCTGTGACATCGTTCCTCATGTGTGGAGCTTTGTATTCCATTAGGGACCCTGATTATCCTCACCCATGCTTGCCTGACCTCAATGTGAGACCAGATCACACACCGTGAAAGAACACTGCCCCCCCCCCCCCGCAAAAAGACGGAGCAGTTAGATAACAAAACAGTCCTAGAAAAATATGGCACGCTCCATGAAACATGGCACGACTCCATGAAATATGACACGCAACGGCACGACTCCTCCGCCATCGCCTCGCCCCGCCAAGCGATGGCACGGGTTCGCCACCATCGGCCTGGCACGCCCAGACGCTGGCACGGCCTCGACACGTCAGGCCTTTGTCCGGCCGCGATCTGCGCCGTTGTTTTTGCAGAAGTGGGCGGGGGAGGGGGCGTTATCTTTCCCGTCGTCGGCTCCGACGGCCGCCGGCTGCAGCGCGCCGAGCCGCTGAAGCTGGCAGGCGGCGCCGGGCTGGGCCAGACCTGACTGCCGCACTGTCCCGACATGTTGTTGTGGCCAGGTGTCTTCGGCACTGATGTCGTTCCGGCGAATACAGATCTGCACTGCGTTCGTGTTCAGCGATTGCAGCCGTTTCAACACGGGCGTCGCCACCACGCGGAGTTCTCAGTTTCTCATCACCCCACCGGGTCAGCGCGCCACAGTAACCTGACGGCGTGACGTGCGTGACGTGACGTGTCGCGTCGGACCACGGACGCGTCACGCGTCACGCAGCGTCTCGGCTGCGCGCTCTACCCGGCCTCACCGTCGACGGCGGGCGTTGTTGCAGAGGCGGCTGGGACCGGATTGGCGTGGTCGTCAGCGCGTACATCCACTACTCCAACATCTGCCGCAGTCCGGAGCAGGCGCTCGACAGGTTCGCCATGAAGAAGTTCTTTGACGACAAGATCCGACACTTGGACCATCCGAGCCAGAAACGGTGAGCTGGGGCGTGGCGCCTGCAAGGTGTCGGGCTTAGCCAAGCTTGTTTGCTGAGCTGAGTATCCGCCTGGGCGTTGCGTACCCAGGCGGATATTGCGTACTCAGGCGTACCCGTACCGTCGGAGGCATTGGTTACTATCGGAGGCGAGCACGCGAACGTGGTGCTTTCAATATGATCACGCTCCGCCGTAGCCCATTGTGTTGCGGACGAAAGCAGACCGCGAATAAGGGAAATGTTTCATTTGGGTCAGGATCGGTTGAGGGGTGAACCGCCGTACAATATCATCTTCACATTGAGAATGCAGTTGGAATACATATGTTTGATGGCTTGTAGCAGTCCTGCGCGATGGCCAGGCCGGTTTACGTTGTGGAAGGGGATTCGCCGGTGTCCAGTGCGCTGGATCGACAGGGATCAGAGCATGCTGGTCATTATGCATGCATATCTTGTTTTATTGATGCTGCGCCCAGAACTTTAAAAACGCCGTCATGGCCTGCTCGTGTTTTCTAGACGCGTGCATTGCCAGTACGATGCAGAACATTTCAGTCCAGCTCGTTGTAAGCATCAGCGCCACAGGCACGACGGCAAGACGTGTTTCTGGAATACATTATCTTTCACGTCCTTTGGCGTGCAACTACGTGCCACCGCACCGCGCGCTCCCGACGAATGTCGTCTGTGATTCGACATGGCACCTAACGCCACTCGTGAACAGGCGACACTGCACCCTGCACCCATACGCCATGATAGCGGCGATGGACGGCGACCATTGGCGTTCATTGAATGCGGTGCCTCGGACCTCATTGGCTTGCGGCCGGCCGGTTTTGTAGTGAGCTGGGCTTCCGTGCTGGCTGACGCCGGCGGCTTGCCGGCACGGCGTGTCTGACTTTGCTGCGGGCCGGTGGAGAGGTGGTCGGTGGGTGGGAGCCCGCAGTCGCCCCTGGCCTCAACAGAGGAGGTGGGAGGGGTGGGGTGGGGGGCGTCCGCCGCCACTCGCGTTCCGGACAATGACTCTGAGAGTCGCCTGCAACGAATGACGTCTGCCAGCTCACTCCCCCCCCCCCCTCATAGCTGCCGGAGGCGATGGCCGGGGAAGGAGGGGGGGGGGGGGGGCAGTGGCGGTGGCCGGGCCCGCTTCCTCGCCTTATCTCTGTCTTCAGTAGAGGACTTCACGGCTCGTTAAACCAACCCAACGACGCCCAAGTGGAGTGGAAACGTGTCAGATTGGGAGCAGAACTTTGGGAAAAGTACGGGTGAGACGCTTACGAGATGCTAGATACAGCCATAGCTCCATGAGAAGTGGGTGGACCGGATGAAGGAAGCCTCACCCGTGAGGGCCTGTAGACCCCAGGGAGCGTGTCCCTCAGCAGAGGCGTCTCCGGGCCGGTCGGGCGCCACGCTCCGCGGCTGGCTCGTCAGCGGCGCCCCAGCGGCGGGCTGGCGGTGGACGGAGCTGACTCGGGCACACTGGCTGCTCAGTCCTCGTGTCTAATGCCCTTCAAAATGGGGAGTCCACCGCCACCGCGACAACCTGCGCGGGATAATGGAATGCCCGTCACCGCGTCAGCCCCACGCGTGACGTCGGTGCGAGCGGCGGCTCACTGTTACCGCGCGTTGTCAGGTACGTCAACTACTTCGCCGGCCTGCTGTCGGGCCTGATCCAGATCAACAGTAGCCCCCTGGGTCTGCACCACCTGGTGCTGGTGGGCTCGCCGCAGCTGCGGCCCGCCGGCGGCTGTCGCATCTTCGTCCGCGTCTACCAGGGCATGGTGCCGGTCTGGACGTCCGCCGTCTACAGCGTCGACGACCGCGCCAAGTACACCGTCATCAGGTCAGGCGCAGTTGTGGGCGGCTGGTGGCCACTGGGCCGTGCGTGCCGTCATCAGACATTTGTATTTGCGGCGCGTG